CCTCCTCCACCATCAACAACAACCTCTGCCTCAGCAGGTGCTGGCNGGGGGGGGGGGGTTGCTCATGAGGGCGGCTGGTGCTGGTGCGCACCACCAGCTGCTGTACCATTGAGTAGGGTACGCCGATACACTGCTGTGCTGCTGGTCTGCTGGTGCTGTGCGTGTGTGTGGCGGTATCGGGTGAAAGTCATGCCTAACTTCCCGATTAGCCCGATACCGGTACGCTCGGTACCAGTATCGCACCGGTACCGGTATTTACATCGTACCGAACGTACCGAACACTTCGGTAAGGTATTGAAGCCCGTACCGAACGTATCGGTATTTTCGGTAAGGTATTCAAGTCCATACCGAACGTACTGAGCATCCCCGGTATGGTATGGCAGTCCATACCGGTATCGTACCGAACATCTCGGTATTTGTAACGAACGTACCGAAAACTTCGGTAAGGTATTGAAGTCCATACCGAACGTACCGGTACTTTCGGCAAGGTATTCAAGTCCGTACCGAACGTACCCAACACTTCGGTAACGTATTCAAGTCCATACCGAACGTACCGAACATCTCAGTACCGGTATACCGGAGGTACAATACCGCTGGTACGCCTCGGTATGTACCTTACCAAACACACCCCGCTAAATCCGTATGATCGATGCACAGTCGGCTTCCTGGTACGTACGTAGGATGCACAGAAGGGGACCCCGACATGACAGCGCACGGACCAATACACACAACGTCTCGACGGGCTTATCCAAGTGTATGTAAGTCTACCTACTCACAGACGGGATTGCTAGCTACAGCGGAGTTGGTGTGCATATGTTTTGGTGTAAGTTGGACGTGCACCACGAGGTGCGTCAGAACGCGAGAGACACTGGGACCAATTCACTAATTCGGCATGTGACCATGTTGTGTTTAGTTTAAACAACCGGAGCGATCACTACTCGTTATCATGTGGTTGTGTGGTGTGCCCGTTGGACACGCAATCCCAAGGGAAAAAGGCACCACCGAACGGCCGCCCTCCATTCGGACGTACTGATGATGTGACATACGTATGAGGCACGAAAAACATGAGATACAAGGCAGCGTGACGGGCGCCCAGACATTCCCTAGTTGGGAGGGATACCTCCAACGCGGCCGCATGCGATGCGGGTGAGGTTAGGTGTTGTGTGTATTATCTTCGAACAACACCAGGTACGACGCAAGATTAGCGGAACCCAAAGAACGTGAAGGGCATGAGGCAGCTGGCAAGAAGGAGATCCCGAAGAGACGAAACACCCACCGGCAAGCCAATGCAACATTACGTCTACCAAGGGAAGACCCCAGCTGGTATTGTGGTAAGTGCAACGCTAAGAACGGACGATGAACCTCAGGATATTCATCATTAGGGAAAGGAGGTGGCAAGCCAGGTGTCGGTTCCTGACGCAAAATTCGTTGTGGGGGCGTCGGCACCACTCCACGAGCCGACATCGGCTCTGCTTTTACAACAGGGGGGTGCAGCGGTGCCTCCGTTTTCACGGCGGGGGGCGCCGTCTCTGTTCGTGGGTCTGCGAACATTGGTGTTGGACACATGTGCTGGATGATTTTGTGTCACGCAGACTGGTAAGATTGCCGTTTGATAGGGGGCACCGCGATGATTCACGGGGCCCCTACTTGCTGTGGGGGCCGCTCTTCGAGCACTCCCTCTTTCGTCCGTGTGAAGGACGATCGTCTACCTCTCGTGAAGTTAATACATTACCAAAACAGTCTCACCCGATAAATAAGTGGCATAGGCCGCAGACACATTGGGATGAGCTCTGCTGGAGACGGAGAGCGCACTGCTGCGAGCGGAGAACAGATCCGCCCGCCGGTGCAAGAGGGCAGCGATGCGGAGCTTGCAAGATTGCAACTGCAGGTCTCGCGATTGGCGGTCCTGGTGGAGGAGTCGATACAGATAAAGGAGCGTGGCAGCGTCGTGGCGGATGCAGCCAGTAGTGGCGGCTGGGTTGCCGCCACCAACGGCCAACAAGGAGAGCCCACGCTGCCGCTCGGCGGTGGCGGGGGATTTCTCCAGCAGCAAGCGAGAGATGGTGGGCAAGGACCACGGCAGCCGCTGGAAGGCGGCTGGGCCAGCAGATCGGGAGCGAACCCTGTTGGACCAGCCGGAGTAGGCCCGGGCATAGGACCGTACTACGGGGAAGCGAGGGGGTTAAACCCCCCAGGTGAGATACCCGTGATTCGAAGAAATGGAGAATTCCTCGACGGCTATAGCAGTAGCCACATGAAGAGAGTAACAGTCAATGCCCCGCGTCTCGAAGGGGAGCGTCGCGGCCATGGGTATGACTCGTGGACAAAGACGCTTATCAAAGCGGCCAAGAGGACTGGACGGCCAATTGATCGGCAACAACGAGAGACATGCACCTTTCGGCAACCCAAACGTGCCAAGCTCGGAGCTGTACCGCCTCCAATACATCAGCGCGAGGTCCAGAGGGGCCTCCAAGCGTTCCATTTTGTGACCACTGCCATCGTCAGAGAAGCCGACAAGGCGATCGTGAACAAATGCGAGACCGCAAAAGAGATCCTCGCGGAACTCGACAAAATCTACGATCCGGAATCGCAGGGCTCGAAACAAGCCCTCATAAAGCAAATGTTCAACTTCACGATCCCCACACACAGCAGCAGAAACCCCATCGAGCACCTGTACTCGCCCACTTCGTCGGATCCCTCCCACCCGAGTACCAACACGCGAAGTTCCTGATGGAGACAGCAACGGGAGCTGGAAAGGGCCGAGATCATCAGAATCGTGAGCACGGTGCACACGAGGCTTCCGGAGGGGAGGAAGGCCTCGAAGGGCCAGCGGAGGGTGGAGCACGCTCTCCTCACGAGCGACGGTAGCGGTGGGGGAGGAGCGCCGGGCGGCGGCAACGGCGGCCGCCGCAAGAGTGGCGGCGGCGGCGGCGGCGGCAACCAGAAGGGGAGAGGGGGTGGCACGAAGGCTGGTGGCGGCGACGGAGGCGGTGACGACGATGCGGGTAGCATACGCGGTCGCTGTTTCCGGTGCGGCAAGAAGGGCCACCAGGTGGCCGACTGCACCGAGAGCAAGCTCGTGCGATGTGAGACATGCAAGGGCTACGGGCACGATAAGAGCAAGTGCCCGACCGAGGGGGCGGTGCTCGTGGGGGAAGTGCCAGCGGGGGGGGCGTCTGCGGACGCCACAGCACTGGACGTGGCAGAAGAGGCGCTGGTGGTCGGTG